TATATTTGTCTAATTTGTCGGTATAATCAACCAGTTCTGTGAGGATCCTGATGACCAGTGTTTTAAACTGTGCGTCTGAGAGTTTTGCTATTTCTTCATTGCTTAGATCTATGGGCTCTGGGGCTTTGAGATCTTCTTGCGACATTTTTGGTCTGTTCTGGCCCTTTAAGTGTGAGAAGCGGTACCTTGGACTCCCAGGTCGCTGGGTTGTGATGCTGTATGTGGGGGCGTGGTCAGAGGGAGGAAATGGCGACCCCCTCTACTGTTTCTCACAGCTGGGTGAGGATCAGCGCTTTAGGTGGTTCACCTGGGCCGGGCCACTCAGAGTTGCTGGGTTATGATGCTGTATGTGGAGGTGGGGTCAGAGCAGGGAAATGGCGGCGCCCTCCATTGCCGCTTGCTGCGGGGACCCGCCCGGCCCCGGTCCAACCGCCCACTCCCTCACCTGTCAGCCCGCGCACAAATGCGCGACCACAGTCAACACGCAGCACCGCTCCCCCGCTGTCTCCCCCACGGTCGCTCGCCTGGTTGCTCGCTCGGTCGCTCACTAGGTCCAACTCTGCGCCTGGATTCCGTGCGTCTGGATTCCGCGCCTGAGTCCGTCTGACCGAGTTTTCCTGTGCAACCCCGCTTCACCAGCCACTGGTTTCGCCCCTTACCGGTCAGGCTGAAGAATTTGTTGTTAACGGACTTCCAAAAAGTTCAATTTTCCGTGTTCTGGCTGTGTTTTCTGTTGCTAATATTTAGTTGTCTCTAAACTTGGTTGTGTGAGAAGGCACAGCACATCCACCTATGCCTCCATCTTGGCGGAAGTCCTTGAACATATACTTTCTTGAATACAAATGTAACAAAGGTGCTTTCTAGTGGATGCCTGATGGAATTCCATGTGAGTCTTGTAAATCATTTATCCTTTGAGCAGATACGTATTTTTTGAGCATTGTGTGTGCCAAGCACATGGTCTTTGCCCTCATGGAAGCTAACAGTTTAGAAAAGGGTAGAAGCATTCATCAAATGATCACAAAAAGAACTTAAAATTACAACTCTTATATATGTGTTAAAGAAAACTTAAAATAGGGGTACTTTACCTAGCTGGCAAGGCCAGAGGAGTGTTGTTTGAGCTGAGGTCTGAAGAATTACTAGAAGTTCAGGGAGGAAGAAAGTGTGTTCCAGGCATAGGAACTGCATTAGTGAACAGCTCTGTGGTGTAGGGGGAAGCATGGTGAATATAAGGGACTCTGATGAAGGCCCTTGTAGCTGGAACAGCGATGTAGGAATAAGAGGCAAGGATAAAATGAGAAAATAATGCATTGTTATAGTCTGTGGGTATCTTACAAGAGTAAATATTGCACAGTTGGAGTGAGAAATGTATAACTAGATTTGTGTGTGTTTAAAAAATTATATCAAAATACATATAACATAAAACTTACTGTCTTAACCATTTTAAGTGTACAGTTCAATGGTGTTAAGTACATTTTCATTTTTGTGCAGCTGTCACCCCGTCTATGTTAAATTTGCGTTTTAAAGAGGTGGTTCTGGTTGCAATTTTTAGAATAGATTAGTTGAGGCAAGATTTGCTGGAAAGCTCTGCATGGGAAGCTACGTACAGAGTGGGTAGAGTGCTGAAATTCACTAGAGGTGACGACGATTGTGCTGGCTGCCATGTGTCACAGGAGCAAGCAAAGAACATACAAAAACCTGGAGAAAGACCTCTTTCTCTTCTGGTATTCCTCCAGTGTCACTACTTGAGGACAGAAGGCAGTGGCCATTGAGCAAGCAACCAACCATGTCTGCCACAATGTCCAAGACCCCCTCCCTTTAGTATGTATAGGAATGACATTGTGACCCTATTTTGCTGTGAAAACACTTAGTTCAAGGCCCACTTCTGATCCTTACTCTTTATTTATTTATTTTTTTGATCCTTACTTGTTTAATCTCAAGTAAAGCCATGTAGGTCCCCTGAACTGGTAAAATAAAGGAACTGGCCAGCCTAAATTTAGCTACAGATACAAATCAATTCTAGGGATTTTGCTGGCAAATTTAAAGCAACTTGAGCATTGCAACAATAACAGGAATAAATTATAACATTGAGGAGATAAAGACTCCATACAGATAGTGAAAAGGTTATAAAGAGGTAGAGGGGAAAATGAAGATCTCCTCTTTAGTAAAGACAACTAACAAATGGAGTCAGAGTGTCCTAATTCCATCATTAGTTTTCAACCATCACAGTAACAGTTGGTTCATGCAAGAATTATTAATGGACTCTAAAATGTGGCATATTTTGGCAGAGAACAGGATATTTTATACAGTTTCAACTGGCACCATACAAATTAATCATCAGGTATAAAAAAAAGATCACTTTTATAGTGCTGGTAGACAGCACTTTAACCAGATGATAAGCTTGGCATTGCCAATAATGGGACAAACTGACACTTTTTACCTTGTAATATAATACGAATCTGAGGAGGATACTGCTTCAGCAATGTAGTTCTGGCTAAGAAAAGCTTTAACCTGAACACAAACCTTGTATCTCTCATGAGAACTGGAGGAAACAGACAAATTCCAGTAAAGGGTCATTCTGCAAAACAACTGGCCTGGACTCCACAATTGTCAGTATCATGAATGACAAACACAAACCAAAGAACCTGGAATATTTTTCTAGATTAAAAACAACTTAAAATCATGAGAATGAAATGTAATTAATGATCCTTCAGTGGATCCTATGTATTAAAAAAGCATTATTGGGACAACTGGAGAAATTTGAGCAGGAATTTTATTTATACTACACAACCTACTAGATAAATATGAAATTTCCTGAGTGTGGTTATATGGAAGAACATCCTTATGATTATGGGATAAATGCCAAAATTTTAATATTTAGAGAGGGGTCTTGATGTCTGCAACCTAATCTTATATTGTTCACTAAATATATATAAACTATCTCTACCCACAAATGGCAGCATTATGTAGAAAATTCTAAAGAATCTCCAAAAACGCTGCTGGAATTAATAAATGAATTCAGCAAGATCACAAGATCCAAATTTAACATACATAGTCAATCATTTTTATGTACTGAAAATGAACAATTCAGAATCGAAATTTAAAAAGCATCATTTATAACATAAATACTTAGGTATAATTGTAATAAAATATGTTCAAGGTTTGTATACTGACAACTATAAAACATTGCCTTGGCTGGTGTGGCTCAGTGGAAATGAACAATTCAGAATCGAAATTTAAAAAGCATCATTTATAACATAAATACTTAGGTATAATTGTAATAAAATATGTTCAAGGTTTTTATACTGACAACTATAAAACATTGCCTTGGCTGGTGTGGCTCACTGGCCTGCAAATGGAAAGGTTGCCAGTTCGATTCCCAGTCAGGGCGTATGCCTGGGTTGCCGGCGAGGTCCTCAGTTGGCAGTGTGTGAGAGGCAACTGATCAATATATCTTTCACACATTGATGTTTCTCTCCCTCTCTTTCTTCTTCCATTCCCTCTCTCTAAAGGAAATGAATAAAATCTTAAAAAAAAAAAGCTATGTTATTATGAACACTTGGCCACCGTGGTTGATGTTTTTTAGAAAAAAAGAAGGAAAAAATATATAAAACCACTGGTGAGAGAAATTAAGACCTAACTATAGATATATCATATTCTTGGATTGGCAGATATATTCTTAAGATGGCATTAATCCTCAAATGGATCTATAAATTCAGTGTAATCCCAATCAAAACCCAGAGTTTCAGGGAGTTTTGGGTGGAGGGGACAAAGAGGCAAAGAGGGGACAAAGAGGGAAATTGGGACAACTGTAATAGCATAAATAATAAAATATAATTTAAATTTTTAAAAAAGCCCTCAGTGGTGTGGCTCCGTTGGGCATTGTCCCACAAACCACGAGGTCACAGGTTTGATCTTCAGCCAGGACGCATCCTGTGTGGTGGGTTCCATCCCTGGATGGGCCGCATAGGCGAGGCAACTTGTTGATGTTTCTCTCCCTCTCTTCTTCCTCCCTTCCCCGTTCTCTAAAAATAGATAAATAAAAATCTTTTTAAAATATAGAGTTTCAGAAACACAAGCTGGGTGAAATTAGCCCTTCTTCAGGAAATGTACTGAGGTTTAGTGAGAAAGAAAGAGATTGACAAGGTACGGGGGACTAGTGATTTTGGAGTCACTAGTACAAGAGTAATTATGAGCTTGACAACATGATTTTGCCAAGAAGTTTACTTTGTGTTTTTACTTTGCTTAGATAGCTAGACAGACAGACAGAGAGACAGATATAGGTATCTCTAGAAGGATACATAAGAACAATAGTTGTTTCCTAAGTGGAGAACTGGGAAGGACGGGGAAGAGAAGGGATATTTTTAAGAACCTTCTTTTTCTGGTTCACTGAAAAGGTAAATTCTTATCTCTGAAGATTGGTCATATGGCAGGTTAAGTACATAAATATGCCCTATTTTATCTGTAAAACTTTGTTCCATGTAACTGGCCATCATTATGTTAAGTTTGGATGTAGGTACTTTCTTGGTCTAGGGTTAACCTTCTAGGAAAAGGGTTTTTAGGTAGCTGATATGAGTCTCATTTATAGTACAAGTTCTTCCATCTTATCTTCACAATTACTTTGTTTAATCTTGGCCCTTTGCTCTTCCCTGCATAGTATATTTTTTAATTTGTTTTTTTAAAGATTTTATTTATTTACTTTTAGAGAGAGGGGAAGGGAGCAAGAAAGACAGGGAGAGAAACATTGATTAAGCCAGTGCTCAGTCCACTGAACCACATCAGCCAGGGCAGAAGACATACTTTTTATGAGGTTAGGGGAGTTACCTTAAATCTCTGGTTTGCTAGAAAGTTTTTTTCATATAACCTGCGTGAATTTTGAATGTTATCAAGTACTTTTCTGCACCTATTGAGATGAACATGTAGATTTTTTCCTTTAATCTGTTGGTATAATACTACTAGTTTGGAAATAATATTTCTTGCTTCTTCTTTTCCCTGTCTGGCAGGTGATTTGTGGAGCTATGATTTCTTCAGTGGTGAATTTGTGGTGTCACCTGAACCAGACATAAGTGTCCACACTCTTGATCCTCAGAAGCACAAGTATATTATCTTGGGGAGTGATGGACTTTGGAATATGATTCCACCTCAGGATGCCATCTCAATGTGTCAGGACCAAGAGGAGAAAAAATACTTGATGGTGAGAAGTGACTCAGTCATTTTTTTGAATATTTTATTTATTTTTTGGGCGGGGAGGGAGGAGGAGAGGGAGTGAAACATTGATGTGTGAGGGAAACATCAGTTGGGTGCCTCTTGCATGCCTCCAGCCAGGGACGTGGCCCGCAGCTCAGGCATTTGCTCTGACTGGGAATCAAACTGGTGATCTTTTGGTTTGCAGACTGTGAGTCAATCCGCTGAACCACACCAGCCAGGGTGGATTTAGAATTCTTTAGTGATGAGAGAGTTACATTTCAGTGATGTGATGAGGCCAAAAGCCAGTTTGTAGTGGATTGGGAGAACCTATTTATAAATGCCAAAGTGTTTTTAGAATGAGTATTGAAGGAAGCATGCATATAAAAATATTTAGAACGAGTGTTAGGAAAACTGATGGGGAGAATATAGGAAACTGGGGAAGATTGCATAAGGAAGTTTCATGGATGAGAGTGATAATTGAGCAAGTCTTAAAAGTGGGGTTGAGTTTACCTGGTAGTAGATTAAAGAAGCTTTCCAGGCAAGAAATAGGATGTTTAAAGTCAGAGGAGAGACAAATACGACATATTCAAGTTTCATAAGTAGCTTGATGTGACTGGAGGATAGGAAGCAAAAGGTTTTGAATAGTCTGTTTTGAAGTTAGGTCTTACTGTCAGGTAGTAGAGACATTGCAAAGCTGCATTTTGAAAAGCTTATCCATTCCTTTCCAGATGGAATATGAAATAGAGGGTAGATGATAATAGATATGAGGATTCTATTCATCAGAAGCCCCTTAACAAAATTAAACTGATACAAAGCTGGCAATGAAAGAGAGTGGGTGGCAACAATAACTAGTGAAGAATCCCTGAGAGAAGGTGACTTTCAATAAGGCTGGGGGTGGGGAGTGTGGTCATACTTATAAGGTCTATGTCTACTCTCTTCATGTATTGATTCTTGTTGGTAGTGTAACTGATTTGATTTTTATTAATGGATCTCTTAGGCATCTTCTTTGGAGGCTGCAACATGAGTGGTGGAATTGATAGTACATGGTTTTTTTAAGGAGGGAGAATATGATACAGAAATTTCTAACTGGTGGCTTGTAGCTGTTATCTAGACAGAATGCCCTGGCTGATGTGGCTCAGTGGATTGGGTGCTGCCCTGTGAACTGAAAGGTCTCTGTTTTTATTCCCCATCAGGGCACATGCCTGGGAATCAAACCAGATGCCTGGGTTGTAGGCCAGGTCCCCATTTAGGAGCTTGTGGGAGGCAAGTGATCGATTTATCTCTTGCACATTGAGGTTTTTCTCCCTCTTTCTCCCTCCCTTCCCCTCTCTCTAACAATAAATAAATAATATCTTTTCTTAAAATAAGAAGAAACACATTATTTGGGGGGAGGGGGAGAGTTAGTTCAGATGAAGGCATGTTTAATTGGAGGTACCCATGGTTCATCTAGACATTGTCAGTAGTCAGTCAGAAATATTTGAGAGAGAAGCCTGGAAATACTAATTTGAGTGCTAACAGGAGTTAGGGAAAGCTGTGGCAATTTATGAGATCACCTAGTGAGACGGTGTGATAGAAGGAAAGGACACAACATTGGGGGGGGGGTTCAAATCAGGAATGGTGAGCTAAGAGGAAATTTTCAGTAATGTAGTGAAATGGCTTATACAGATTTTTTCCCCACAGAAATAGAGGCACGCTGAAAAAGTGAAAGTTAAAGGAGTTCTCAGTGAGATACTGTTTGGAGATTGATGAACCGTGTACTGGGGAATGTGGTAGATTCATGGGTTAGAAATTAATGCTACCTTTGAATAAATATTACTTCTATACATAAAAAAAGAAATCAATGCTACCTTTCATCAATTGTGAGGTGTATGCTTTTTCATGTGAGAAAGTAGCGGAGGGAGTATAAATTATTGGGAATGCAAGGATGACTTAATATTAAAATTTAAAACAAAGCAGTGGAGAAGAGTTATTTGTAGTTTGCCCATCATTAATGTGAAATACTATACTATACCCCAGATCAGACAACCACAGGTGAAGATTACTCCTTGTTTTTGCCCAAGGAAAGGATGAAAAAAAACCCAGTTCTGTATCCAGTTTGAATATATATAGTTAGGGATAGAGATGACAAGTAAATGACTTATAGTATATTATATCTATATTTTCTATAATGTTTATAGTACTGTATAGTACATTATATAGTATATATTATATTAATAGTACATTAATATTTCTGTATTGTACATTATTATATTTTATTACATTATATAAAATAACATCAAAATTTTTTCTACTTGTAGTTCATAATATATTACTTTTTCAACAAATTTCACTCACTTTCATCATTCACTTATTTCTAGAGGTACTTTTTAAGACATGTAACCCTATTTCTAGAGCACATAATTTTCATCTGTGTTCTTTGAAACTTAGCAATTATTGAATCCATGTATGATGCTGAGTTTTCTTCTAAGGTAATTTATTTGCATAACATGAGGTCATTTAATTGTTTTTACTCTTCAATTAAGTTGTTTTTAACAACTTATGTGTTGTTTTTTTCCTCATATGAATGACATTGACCATTTAAAAACATAGTTTAAGAATCATTTATTATTCCCTTGCCTCTGAATTTTGTTCATATGCTTTGACAGTGTTTATTTTCTTTGATTTTTTTGTCATTGTCTTTGTCTTTGATTTTTCAGAAGCTTCTATTTTAGCAGGAAATTCTCCCTTTGCAGTGAGTTTTTTTTAACCATCCCTGATTTTATCTCATTTGAATTGTCTATTTTTCCATTTATCTTTCAATAATAACTTGATGTTTACTTCCCTTTTTAGGTAATTCTATGTAATGTTGCCTTAATAACTACGTAACTTTTTTGCAATAACTGTAATTAAGTTAAACTGAAGACACGTTTCTTGCTACCAGAAAGATAAAAATTCAGGTGAAATTGAACCACAGATTAAGGCCTTATTTTATTATTTATTAAAAGTAAGAGTAGGCTCTGGCTGGTGTAGCTCAGTGGATTGAGCGTGAGCCTGCGAACCAGACAATCGTGGTTCAATTCCCAGTCAGGGCACACGCCTGGGTTGTAGGCCGATTCCCTGCAGGCCAGTTCCCAGCAGAGGATGCACAAGGCAACCATACATTGATGTTTCTCTTCCTCTCTCCTTCCCTTCCTCTCTAAAGATAAGTAAATAAAATCTTTTAAAAAAAAGTTAGAGTAGTACAAGGGGGAAAATTGGGACAACCATAATAGCATAAACAATAAAGTTTTTAAAAAATAAAATAAAATTTATAGTAGTATTGTTTAACATAGTTTTGGGATCTGTGGATAACGTTTGAAATTTTAGAAATTTTATTTAGGCCATATTGAACATCTAATTTTTAATTTGATACATATGCGATGGTGACTAAATTTGAATTGTTGCTTTCCTTCTTCTTCTTTTAAATACAGGGTGAACATGGACAATCTTGTGCCAAAATGCTTGTGAATCGAGCACTAGGCCGCTGGAGGCAGCGTATGCTTCGAGCAGACAATACTAGTGCCATAGTAATCTGCATCTCACCAGGAGTGGACAGTCAGGGAAATTTCAGTAATGAAGATGAGCTCTATCTGAATCTGACTGATAGCCCTTCCTATAATAGTCAAGAAACCTGCCTGATGACTTCTTCTCCAAGTTCTACACCACCGGTCAAGGTATATAGTTCTATAATATTTAAGTTGTTTTAGTTCTATAGTATTTAAGACAGTTTCTTTGGTTAGTATTGTCTGAAAACAAGTGTTCACATTTCTTATATAATAAAACTTTGGCTTTCAACTAGTTTCAAGAAAGCGATGAGTCTTTGTCATGTAACTTACTGTCAGTGAGCCATCTTCATACCAGTGCTTACTAATCTGAATGCCAGCTGTATGTACAGCAGCTAATGGAAAGGTGGATAGATGTGGCTCCTGAAGAATATATATATTTTGAAGATTTTATTTATTTGTTTTTAAAGAGAGGGGAAGGGAGGGAAAAAGAGAGAGAGAGAGAGAAACATCAGTCAGCTGCCTCTCACAGGTCCCCAACTGCAGACCGGGCATGAACCCTGCTTGGGAATCACATCGGTGACCTTTTGGTTCTTAGGTCTTCGTTCAATCCACTGAGCCACACCAGCCAGGGCACCCCTGAAGAATATTAACAATATTAATGTTTGGAATTTATTGATCCCCTTCTAACACTATGTATATTCATAGTCACTTCTCTTCTTTGAAAATCCTTGAATAATCAGATTAAAATCTTTTAAAGTCTCTTCATTATTTGAATGTTGGGAAGGGACGAGCATATGTTCTTCTATTTGCCTATTTCTCAATTTGAATGTATCTGTCCCTTTTGTGTTGATTAATGTATTTGTATTGGACTAACTGACTTTTAGGCAGAATAGAGAAGGAAGTGTGAGAGTGAAGGAAGGGTAAGGGGACAGAATCTTTTGATAGGAATAAATATTCTTTTAAAAAAATATTTTATTTATTTATCTTAAGAGGGGAAGGGAAGGAGAGAGGGAGAGAAATATCAATGTATGGTTACCTCTTGTGTGTCCCTTGCTGGGAACTGGCCTGCAACCCAGGCATGTGCCCTGACTGGGAATCGAACCACGATCCCCTGGTTCACAGACCTGTGCTCAATCCACTGAGCTACACCAGCCAGGGCTGGAATAAATATTCTTAATATTGATCTCAAATAAAAAATATTTGCCATCTGCTGATTAGTGTTAGTAAAATTATACACAGATTGCATATAAAGTATGTTTTAAATTATTTCTAAAGTTCTGAGAAATAATGATCTAATAATCATAATAAAGATGAAATATATGTATGCATTAACTTATATGAAAGCACCATTTTTGTGGGCCACTTGGCCTCACCCAAATATGGGAAAATATTTAGAGCCATTTACAATAATTAGTATTGTTGGCTTTGACTTAACAAATAAAGGCTAATTAATTTCTGCTCAAGATTCTGTGTTTGGTTTTGTTTCCTTTTTTATTTTTAATCTGTATTGACTTAACCGTGAGTACTCACAACCATCTCTGATTTATTTCATTGTTATAATAATCCCATGTTTGGTGACATCTAGATAAATATGACATTTTGGTTAATATTGAATGTTTTTTTAAGACGTACCAACATTTAGACTAGCATTTGAGACTAGGTTTATATCTATAGATATGTCAGCTTCTGTTTGCATCTAAGGTAAGTCAGAAGTCAGATTTTTGTTTTGGGTGGATTAGTGAAAATACCTCTGGTTAATGATATATTACAATGGCAAGAGTTTCTTTCTCCCTCCTTTCTTTAAGGCAAAACTAAGCTGTTTTTACAACCAAGAGAGCTATAGGAAGGACTAAGGAAGAGAATTCTTTCAGTAAATTAACACTTTGTTTCTTTTGCTATCTGGGTACAATTATTAGTGTTGAATGTTGGATTCATAGATGGAGCCAGAAAGTTGATCTCTGAAGTAGTGAAACTTTAAAGTATGTATTGTTAGGAGGTGATCTCTCAATATCACAAATGCTGTATGAACATGTAAGTAGGTTTAGCAACACTAAGTAATTAATCTGCTGTGAGTCTAAGAAGCCCAGGCAGTTGCATGCGCTAACAGATGCAATGTATTACCTCAGAATGCCAATAAAAAAAGAAGGAAAAGGAAAAGCTGAAAAGTCGGGGAAGGAAAGCCAGCACACCTGTAATGAGAAAATAATAATAATTGTGAATTTAAAAGGACACAGCACCACTGAAATCACAATAAATTGTGTTAACTCTGAAATCGTCCCATTGTGTTTCTTTTAGAAAGGAATCCCATCTAACATTTAACGTTGTTATACAAACTAGAGCAGTATGTTTTATTCCTATCAATTTCTTGATGCCTATATTAGTGACATGGTGTTTTGGTAGTAGGAAGCTTTCTGTGTACAGAACTTACTGCTTGTTGCAAATCCTTTTTCTATATTTAAGCAGGATGAACTGTTGGTCATCAATTGCTTATGACTAGATACAGTTTTTGTAGTCAGCTAGGACATGCTTATGACCAGGGTAGACATTGGAATCAACCTAAAGCAGAGGGATAAACTCACATACATTCGTTGTCATATTATTGAAAGTCATGTGCAAATATTCTAGAAAACTCTCCTTATCCTTTCTCCACACTTGTACTTTGAAATAAGGTCGCTGCCCTCCATTTAGTCAGTGTTAAAACAGATAAGAACCGAGCTTGAATAAAAACTGTGCAGTGTAAAATAAATAAACAAGCCAATGACCCCAGAAAGAAGTGTATTCTTAGTAAAGTAAAGTAAAATAAAATAAAATAAAATAAAATAAAATAAAATAAAATGGAAGAAATCTTTTGGGGGAAGTACCAAATTAGGAATTAGGGTTTCCCACCTTCATTCTTCATTTGATCTAAAATCAATATAATTTTTTTAGTAAAGCATCTTCATATTTATGGTTAGATCGAAATGTTTTTGGTGGCTTTAATTTCCTTTTTTATTATAGAAACAAAGGGAACTTTTTTTGAATATGCTTATTTATATAGTACTTTTTTGAAAGGTGTTTATATTTCTAGTGGATTTTATATCTGAGGAAGACCAGGCATATATCCTGACTTACCATTTTATAAAAGGGCTTACTTGGCCTTTTCAGAATACATTAACACCCGACACCTAGGTAGGTTCAATAAAAAAGATTTATTTTTCCAGAAAAAAAGTTAATATTTTAGTAACTTTTTTGATGAAGTCAGGAAGCAATTGAGGGATGTGTTACATTCTTGTAGGGGGAGAGAGCATTTATGCTTCAACTTTGTGTTTGAGAAACATGAGACAATGATTTTGTAGGGTATCGTTATAGTGGAAGATTGGGTTTGGTAGGAAGAATGTTCTTATCTGTCTGGAGATGGGAGGGTATTCTAAGTATATGTAGTTCTAGAGCAGTACAGCAAACATAGTGGTGCACAACCGAATCACCCGTGAAGCTTCTAAAAAATAATACCTGAACGTTTATGATTTTCACTGCTTTCAGAGGTGCCCCAACCATGTTCAGCGAGTCCTGCTTTTCTCAGATCACAGAACAGTATCTAGTGTTTGGATGATGGGTGCAAAACAATGTGCATTTCCTTATGACATAGTGGCTTCAGTGTTGCCCTTCACGTTTTCCATATTACTAAATTTTCGGAAATTGGACTTTTCTATTGGACATAGAAAGTAGGGAAAAGCCAAATGTGTCACTTATTCTAATGAAACTCTTTCATTTCTCCAAGAGTTAGGTTGAATTCTAGGATAAATTATTTCTTATTTGATTTACTTTCTTGTTTTTCAGTCACTGGAGGAGGACCCTTGGCCAAGGCTGAACTCTAAGGACCATATACCTGCCCTTGTTCGTAGTAATGCCTTCTCAGAGAATTATTTAGAAGTCCCAGCTGAGATAGCTCGAGGGAATGTGCAGGCTGCAGTCGTACCCTCAAAAGATCCAGAGCCACTTGAAGAAAATTGCACTAAAGCCCTGACTTTAAGGATACATGATTCTTTGCATAATAGCCTGCCAGTTGGCCTTGTGCCTACCAATTCAACAAACACCATCATGGACCAAAAAAATTTAAAGATGTCAACTCCAGGTCAAATGAAAGCCCAAGAAGTTGAAAGAACCCCTCCAGCAAACTTTAAAAGGACATTAGAAGAATCCAATTCAGGCCCTCTTATGAAGAAGCATAGACGAAATGGTTTAAGTCGAAGTGGTAGCACTCAGCCTGCAAGCCTCCCTGCAACCTCTCAGCGAAAGAACTCTGTTAAACTTACCATGCGACGCAGACTTAGGGGCCAGAAGAAAATTGGAAATCCTTTATTGCACCAGCACAGAAAAGCTGTTTGTGTTTGTTGAGCTATATCTGGAAAATGGTTTCTTTCCAAGTTTAGGATATGAAGCTTTTTGAAGTTGGTGCCAAAGGTGAACTTTTTAAAAAGGCACACAAAAGGTAGTATGCTGTTTGACTTTTTGGAATTCAACAGTTTAATCCTAAGCTGTGTACTTGCTTGTATTATAAATGTGAATTTTGTAGATATTAGGGTACATGTTGCTGTAAAATGTGTGTAAATTTGTATCCTTCACACAAACTCAGCCTCTTACCCTGGTACACAGTAAATATATCAAGAGGGCTAACAGTTTAAAAAACAAATCAAAAGACTATTAGATTTTAGTAGAAGTACATTAACTTTTAAAAATGGTTATTGAGTCATCATTCATGATGAAAACTATACAACTTTTTAAAGTAAATTATTAAGCAAATCGGAAAGGTGATGTATTTTCATAGTGATCTGTGTTCTACTTAATGTTTCTTAGAGACTATTGTCTTTTAAAATTTTTTAATTTCTAATTTCATAATTTTTCATAGAAGAAGAAATAGCTGGATATTAGTCTCCTTTCCTCATTAAAGTACTATGCAGTATCTTATTTCAGTAGCATTTTTCTAAAACATTAATAATCAGATATACTCACTAACTATTTGAAATAGAAGGTGTGCTTTCCTAAAAAATGCCCTTTTCAGTTATCCCATTCTGTGGCATTAGGTCTTAAAGTAGTTCCCCTCTTCTAGTGTTTGCATAAAATATGTGAAGTTTTTCTTGCTATTTCTTGCTCAATAAAAGATGGTGCTGCTAATTCCCAACATTTTTTAAATTATTTTATATATCATACAGTTTTCATTGATTATATGGATATATGTTTGTTCATCTAATAAATCAGTGAACTGTTTGCAATGTTGCTAGATTTTTATTGTTGGTTTTAGTGATTATATTAACTTTTTGTTGTGCCATGATTGTGCTTTCAGAGTAACTTAAAATACATGTAATGTTTATTTTTGCACTCAACTTTAAATTAGAATACATCAACGCAGGCTAAACAGCTAACGATAAGAATATAGTTAAGTCATGGCTTGTAAGCATTTGATGACATTTATAGCAAATAAAAGTGAATAAAACTGCCCTGGCTGGTGTGGCTCTGGATTGAGTGCTGGCCTGCAAAGTGAAAGGTCCCCCGGTTTGATTCCCAGTCAGGGCACATGCCTAGGTTGCAGGTCAGGTGCCCAGTTTGGGGTGTGCAAGAGGCAACGGAACAATGTATCTCTTGCACATTAACGTTTCTCTCCCTTTCTCCCTCCCTTCCCTCTGTAAAAATAAAATAAAATAAATACATAAATAAATAAAATCTTGTAGAAAATGAGTACAACTTTGTTCATATAAGAAAATAACTAAAAGGAGCTAATACTAAAACATTAAGTATGTCATTGTGGTGTGGTGTGTTGTTATACAATGAGAATACTTTTCATACAAGACCTCAATGAAATGAGAGGTCTTGAATACAAGACCTCTCATTGAGATGTTGAAATGTTGTAGAATGCCTACAGTATTCTAGGTACTGCACAATTAGAAGCATACCGTTTTACATGAGAAAATTGAGAACCAGTGGTCTGGGTAAAACATTAATTGTGGCTAGTTTTTAAAAAGGATTTTTGGATAATAGTTTGTTTTTCAGATCTATCCAAGATAGAGATGTAGCAACTAAAAGGCACTTGGGGAGTCAATTTACTGCGGAGGGTTTTTCCGTCTTTTAGACCTGTGATACCTCTGGAGTATTAGCTGCACCAAGTAGAAATTCAACAAATCTGAATGTATATCAAAGAAAGGAAGATCCATTTAGCTACTTCACACTTTTTCTACCAGTGTTTTTTTTGTAATATTTTATTAGTTTTAGAAAGGGGAAGGGAGGGAGAAAGAGAGGGAAACATCAGTATGAGAGAGAAAGATCAGTTGCCTCTTGTGCGCCCCCAACTGGGGATCTGGCCAGCATGTGCCCCGACTGGGAATTGACCTTACATTTTGCCATAGGACAGACACCCATCCCACTGGGCCACACCAGTCAGGGCTCTCCCAGTGGTTTGAAACAAAGTAATCTAATGCTATATCTATATGAAATTAAAATTTCCATTTGACTAGAGTAATGGATTAAGTAATCTTTGATGCAAAAAATGCCATAGCATTAATTCATACATCACATAGCATTAACTCACATATTTAGTGCAATAGAGTCCAAATACGTGCCCTACTAGTAGCTATCTGATCCTGGAAACGTTTGTGTTTGGATCCTAGAGCCATTTCAGACCTATTCTTGAAGGAGTTAAAGATGTTATGTAATTGCAAATGTTTTAATGGTTTTTAATTAAATTTTATTTGCCTGTGTAACAGATCTGCATAAAATTTATGATGTATAAAATGGTACATAATGAAAAAGACTTTACCTTAGTCCCCAAAGCAGCCATTTCCCCCCCTTTTTTGTGTATTTTTTGAGTGATAATCTATGCATAGATATGCAACTATCCATGTTTTTATCTCAATCTTTTTAAAGTGATATATCAGTACATCATACAGCCACCTCATTCTTTAGTATTCTGTCTAGTCTGTGGATATATAATTTGGCCATTACTTATGTCCACCCATAAGGAAAATACTTTTTAAATAATTTTTTATTGTTATTGTGTTACAGTTGTCCCAATTTTCCCCCACCTGCCCACCCCACCCATGAAACACTATTTTTTTCCTTTACTTACACAATACTTACAACACCAGATGTGTGGGGTTTCCTGCAGCAGACAATTCTCTAATTTCTGCACATACAAACTGGATGCCGTACAATTCAATTTTGATAACTACCTACATGAAGTAATCAGATCTCACAAAACTGCCCTCACTTCACATACCAGTTACAGTCACACATATTTTGATCAACTGACTATAAATCAGGATTTCTACAACCCTTTCCACAGATTTTATAATTTGCTAGTATGCTCACAGAACTCGGAGAAACATGTTTACTGGTTTATTATATAATAAAGGGTACAGATGAAGAGATGCATCAGGTGAGGTTCCGAAGGGTCCCAAGAGCGGGAGGTTCTGGTCCCATGGGTTTGGGGTGCACCACCCACCTGGCATGTGTTTACCAGCCTGAAAGCTCTGTGAACCCCATAGTTAAGGTATTTTTCTGGAGGATTCACCATGTAACCATAGCTAATTATTCAGTTTCCAGCCTTTTTCCCTCCCAGGAGGAATTGGTCTGGTGAGTCCAAAAATTCTGCTGTCCAGCTATCCCATCCTGAAGCTGTCCTGGAGCCCACTAACAGTATGGTCTCCTAAGGACAAAAGATGCTCCTATCAGTAAATTCCAAGGGATATAGAAGCTCAGTGTCAGAAAGGGGTCAATGACCGGCTGGTGCATATCTCTGCACCCAGCACTTTCCCTCTATTGGGGAGGTAAAATAAAAACTTTGCTTTCCGGGGGGGTGTGGGTGGGGAAGAGGTCAGTAACCAAAGGCAAAAGATGCTCCTAACACATTTAGTTACCTAGGAAATGACCAAGGTTTTTCTTTTTTAAGATTTTATTTATTTTTAGAGAGAGGGGAAGGGAGGGAGGAAGAGAGGGAAAGAAACCCATGTGTGAGAGAAACATCAGTTGGTTGCCTCTCATAACCTCAACCAGGGACCTGCAACCCAGGTATGTGCCCTGACTGGGAACCGAATGGAAACCCTTTGGTTCACAGGCTGGTGCTCAATCCACTAAGCCACACCCGCCAGGGCAAATGAAGAAGGTTGTAGGAACTCTAGCCAGGTGCCTGGAAAAAAAAATGTGTATTTTATACGGAAATGTCATATCTACACACTGAATCTTTTCAATATGTATTTTTAAACAATTTTCTTTAGAGAGAAACGTGGATTGCTTGTTCCACTTATTGATGTATCCATTGGTTGTTTCTTACATGTATCCACACTGGAGATCAAATCCACAACCTTAGTATATTGGGTCAATGCTCTAACTGAACTAGCTACCTGGCCAGGGTGCTTTTCAATATTTTGTAGAACAGGTAATTCTTGACCTATTTATTTTATGCCTCAAAGATTAAAATATGTATTAGTTATATAGTGCTGTATAGAAATACCTCAAAATTTAGCAGCTTAAAACAATGGCTATTTCCAGTTTCCGAGTGTTAGGAATCTAGGAATGACTGCTAGGTTAGTTTCCTATGTTTGCAGTCTTCTGAAGGCTTCACAGGAGCTGGCGGGGCCACTTCCCACAACACAAATCTGTTGGTAGGAGGCCTCGTTTCCTAGCCATGTGTGCCCCTCTGTAGGGCTTCTCACCGTATGTCCATTAACTTTTCCTAGGGCAAGTGATATCAGAAACAACCAAGCAGAAAACACAATGTCTTTTGTAACCTAACCTCAAAAGTACCATATGAATTAGGTCATATTTTATTAGTCACAGTCTAAATCAGATTAATGTAGGAGGGAATCACTCTCTGTAAATGTATCATTATGGGTCATCTTGAAGGCAGTCCATTACAATCTAGAAAGAATATAGGGTTTTTAGTATTGCTTTCATAAGATGCATACCAGGTTTGCTTTGGTAACAACATTAATAATGTTATTTTTATTATCTTCCAGATATTTGGAAGATTGCTCTAATGGAGTGAGGCATTTTAAATGTACCTTTCCCCGAAATACAGGGGTGGGCAAAACTAGGTTTTATTATTCGTGTGGAAAATAATACAATAATTAATAAATAATAAGTTTTGTGTTTCTTGTACTCACAACTGTAAAGCCAAGTCTCCTTCTGTCACCATAATGTTTTTTAGATATTAAAAAAAGTTTAAAAAAAGATTTTATTTAGATTGGAGCTGGAATTACCACAGCTGCTGGCACCAGACTTGCCCTCTAATGGATCCTCGTTGGAGAATTTAGAGTGGACTCATTCCAATTACAGGGCCTCAAAAAAGAAAATAAAGAAATAAAGAAATAAGGTGTTATTTATTTTTAGACAGGGGGGAAGGGGACGAGAAAGCGGGAATGAAACATCAATGTGTGGTTATATCTCACCCCCCACCAGGGACCTGGCCTGCAACCCAGGCGTGTGCCCTGACTGGGAATCAAACTGGTGACCCTTTGGTTTGCAGGCCAGTGCTCAATCCACTGAGCCACACCAGTCATGGTATTTTTCAAATTTTAAACAATTTTCATTCAGGGTTAAATGGGGAAGGTAAAATATATCCTGGGTATCATAAAAACAGTTGATGACATAAAATTTTTTTTTGTCAATAGTTTTACTTTCTGGTATCTTTAGTTATAAATACCAGCTCTAGATTTCAGGATAAATTGTTGGGGTCCTGAAATGTAATTTTTCCTGTTAATGAATAAGCATTATGGAAAATAGAAACAATCCCTTATTTTAAAGAGTTTACATTTTATCTAAACAGACAATAGAATTACACACTAATCAACTAGATAACAGCTACAAAGTAACGTTTCTGTGTCAGAGATAAAGGGCAACCACAGTTGATAACATGCCTGGGGCAGTCCTGTTTTATCTCTTTAAAAAATTAATTATTTATTAATAGAGTCCCGTTTCAAGGTTTTCTGTGTAGAATGATAAATTATGTGGCCACCTCTTAAAAACCTTGTTATTTTTCCTTTTACTTGACTGAAAGTTAAAATATTAATGTTCTTCTATGTGAAGTCAGATTATTTCACAACTGCTTAAATCATGTAATTATTGTTTAAAAATTTTTTAATTTATTGATTTTAGAGAGGAAGGAAGCGAAAGTGAGAAACATGACTTGTTCCATTTATTTATGCATTTGTTGATTGCTTCTTGTATGTGTTCTGACCAGGGATCGAACCACAACCTTGGTATATTGGGAGGATGCTCTTGCCAACTGAACTACCCTTGGCCAGGGCCTAAATCATGTGATTATTCGATGTTTTGGGTGGCCAAGATGAGTAATGGTTTGCTTGAGGCTAAAAACAGAATCCTAATCCTAGCAAAACAAACACAAAATATAAAGTGACCTTAAAATTTGGTTTGCATATAGATAGTGCCCTGACACTTCCCTGGGGGCTTTAGGAGAAGCAATTTTAGTCGTTAGTAATTTAATATAATGGACATTGTAGCAACTGGAAGAACATAGAACTCTGGTTTGAACTCACTCTTCTACACTGACAATGAGTTTCCTAGCTGGGGTTGCTCAATCACTAGAACAGATTGTTGAAAGTTGTCTCAGGTCCCATTACTTTGAAATGGCTCAGGAACTGGCCATATGTGCTAAGCATTCACAAGTTACTTCCATTCAGAAAAGATCACCATAAATTTTATTTTCTATTTGAAGGCTCTTGAGAGAATCACACCATCTCTGCAGAGAAAAATAATTGGAGGACTTAGAATTAGCTCATTGGTTAATTAGTAATTAGTTAAATTGGAGAAATTTCTAGTTTGGAGAAATTTCTAACTGGTTGTTAGAATACTAAATTCATTTACTCCTATAAAAATCTATGAGGCTCATAATATTCTTTCTACAATCTATGAAGGATGAAACCAAGACAGAGAAATTCACCCCCAAATCAATGGCAACTATTTACTGGTTGAAAATGTGAAGCAATAATATTCATCTGACCAGTTTTCTCTTAAAGCCATTTCCATGATGATGAGACTCAATGATATTTTTTTATTTGAGTCACTCCGGACAAACAACAAATTTGAAGAAATAAAAAGTATCTGAAATAGAAACACAATGTGTAACTTGACCAGTGTTCGTCCTATCTTTAAATGCCATCACTCAGTTGCTCAAGCCTAAAACACAGGCATCATCCTTGATTCTATTTTTCTTCCACCTTACATCCAATGGATTATCAAGTTCTTTCAGGTCTGTTTTCCAAAATTGCGAAAATTCCGAAATTGTCTCAATTCCGAAATTGACGACTTTTCACCTCCACTTCTTGACTTCAGGGCTCAGTTTTAGACCGATCTCCCACTTGGTCAACTGAAAAATTAGCCTCCCTGCTTGATCCGCTGCTTCCACTCTTGTCCCCTCCCTCACAAAAGTTTATTTTCTGTTTAGTACATACAGGGATCTTTTAGAAATATAAGTACACCATCATGAAACCTCCTAGCTGAGAGTCCTCCAATAGATTCTCAACCAGAATAAAATTGAAGCTCCTTATACTTCTATAGAAGACCAAAGTCCAGCTGGCCACTGCTTACCTCCCTTAACTAGTCTTCCATCACCTTATAGTTAGTTCACTTTGCTTAAACCATAGTGTTTTTTCTCAAAATTCATTCCCTTCTCGGAGCCTTTGTTCAATAAATCGATAAAGATTATCTTTATTGTACAAAAATGTAACTGGCGAAACAGCACCGGTTAGATGTAGAGCTCTTCCTTACGACAGGCAGAAGCAGGGAAGGAAGGAATCAGGCGTGGTCCACAAATTTACAATGAATTGACAGGATTACTTGCCGCACCCCTCATTCACATCAACACCTCCTCGGCTACGAGACTGCTCACTACCTTCAGCTAGCTTGGACTCCCGGAAGGTAAACACATCTACGAAGGCGGGGCAGAAGGCGGGCTCCTTCTGGGTAAGTGGCCAGCTACAAGTGATTGGCAGCTGCCATGTCCACGTGCTTTGAGTTTGGAACCAGCTGTCGCGAGAATTCGATGTAAACAGACCAGTCCCGGGGTCCTTGGATTCCCAGCCTGAGACGCTCAGGTGAATTATACAAGAGTAAGCGACGTGGTGCTTTTGATAAAGCCGACGAGGTACTGTCTGCAGAGGAAAATAGATGTGTCCGTAATTCCTCCCCTCTTGCCCGGGATCACAACCGAACCCGACACCTCGGTTTTGTCCGAATTTACATACTGTTTTGTTTTTCCTGGAGCCCCAGCGGATTGGATAATTTCTGGAGGCGGGTTCGCCTCTTTTTTACTTGCTGGTTGGCGAAGCTGACCTCTAAGGGCGGTTCCCGGGTTTAGCCAGTTTGCTTCTGGGATTGGCCAAAATGGTAGTTCCGCTGAGGCGTGGTAGGAAGTGGTAGCTGTCAATCTCGAGGAGACTCCAAACAGTGAGCCTTGAGCTGGAGAACAGCGTTTACCGGCGGGGCGGCCGGTGAGAAGGCTGGAGGGGCTGTGGCTTTGGGAAGGCTTGGGGAGGACGAGGGCCGAGCAGCGTGAGGAGAAAGGGCTTGACCAGCAGGAATTCGGCGAGGGAGAGGTGTCGAAATTGAAGGGGGAGGGGAGGAAGCAAGGGCAAAGGGCCAGAGGGCGGCCGGGGGTAGCGGTGGCTCCGTGTTGGAGGTTAAGGGGTTAGCACTTTGCTAGTGTCTTTCAGGAGAGTGGGGCCTGAGCGACTGGCCAGGGTCGTCCTCTGGACTGGGCCCTCATAGGACAGACAGTTCTTGGGAGGGCTTTTTTTTTTTTCTTTTCGGGAATAAAGGGTGGTATAGAAATGAGAGGGCTGAGGGGCTGGAGTTGAAGGTATCCATTGAGGAAGGAGTTCCTGGGCTAGTTGGGGCAGAAGGTGTTTTGGTTGTAGCAGATGGGACTTATCATTTTGGAAGTTGTCAAATAAGGTGACAGAATGTACCTACTTAGAAGTGACGGTTTTAGGGGTTCACAAGATTAGTTCCAGGCTGTGGGCTCTCCTGAGCCCTGTAAGAGATATTTAGTATTCCTGTCAATTCTGCTTTACACCTTAACCAACTACACTCCATGCTCTTAAAACCTCCCCAGTGGGTCAGATGCTTATTACACGTTCAGAGGTCAGGATTCAGGGATCTGACAGGAAAGGATAAGGGGCTTCTAATGTCCTAAGTTTATTGCTTAGACTCTGGTTATTAGGTTTTAGTAGCAGGGAGTTAACAAAATCGATTTTAAAAGTCCTGCTTAAGTATGATCATGCAGTCTTTTTTCAGGAAGATATTGCATATGCCATTATGTTAGTTTCAGGTATACAACATAATGATTTGGTACTTGTATATTTTTGAGAAACTGATCACCACATTAATAAGTCTAGTTAACATCCATCACCACACATAGTTACAATATCCTTTCATACAGATCACCAGCAGTCTTGACTTGTATTACACTACTGTTCCATTTGGTCTTGAAATATTGTACCATGTGTATTTTCACTATCTCAGTATAAGATTTCAGTACATTTTAAAATTTTGGCTTTCAAAGGTAGTACATTTGTTTTCTGAAGTGCTCCTGTGCTAACTTCCCGTCCATGATCTAATTCTCTTACCTTTTTAATTTATGTTAACAGTAGATCAAAGGGTCAAGCAAGAGTCTTAGTTAGTTTTGTAGTTCTGAAGTTTGGTTCAAATAAAAAAAATCTCAGTAATTATACATTTTTCTTATCCCCTGCCTTTCCTTCTTTCTGGTGTCATAGGAATTGCTGGGAAAGTTTCCTTCATCTTAGGCATTTTTGATAAGGGATCTCTAGTGAGCAACCAAACCCCTTTTTCCCTACTGCCAGCAATACTGATCCATTTTTTCTAATTTTTGTTCTGGAAACAGGTTTTGTGAATGAAGCTATGGCTACAGATTCCCCCAGAAGACCCAGTCGCTGTACTGGTGGAGTCGTGGTTCGCCCCCAGGCTGTCACGTGAGCAGATTTCAGATAAACCTAAAAGCTGAAGAAAAGATAACTCAGAATAGTAATTAACTTTCAGGTTTCCTTTCTGAACAGTGATTACTTTTGTAGAATCTATTTAATTTTGGCTTCACAGGATGATAAATGTCATTGCCAAGGCCAAAGAAAAGGGTTAATTGGAGGGTCAAGTTGATGTGTTCAGCACATTTACAGACTACCTTGTAAAGCACTATGCTAAATCCTAAAGAGTAGTGTTTTTTCATACTTTTGTTTTAACAATGGGTTATTAAATCAATTTATTGGATTAGGATCATTATTTAGAAATGAAAGTAGAATGTAATAGAAAATATAGTTGAGAGTAAGTATTGTTTTGTGTAATACACAGATACATTCATATGTATATGTATGTTTACTAGGACGTGATTTAAAATGTATCTCATTCTAATGTCTCAGTCAGAAAGCTTCAAAGTCAATATAAAGAGTACATTTCTATATTATAAGCCTTTTTGACAAAGCATATGTATTTTCTAAAAGCATATCATCTAATGTGGTTTTAAGATATGTGTGCTTGAAATCACAATAATTAATAAAAAAGATGTTAGCAAAACAGTATGAGAATTTAGAGGGAGTATTTTAGTATTTTAAATCCAAAAAGTTTTTTTGAGAGGCTAACATTCATGGTATATTTCAAAGGCTGAATACTGTTTGGGCAGTTAGAATCAAGGGTACGTTTTAGCCAAAGGGAATAGACTGAGCAGATGTGAGCGAGGCAGGATATTTTCATAAATGAAATATAGAAAACTTAGCGTATTTGTAGAAGGTTGAGGTGGACAGTTACGACCCTAAATACCTGGCTATAGAGGTGAAACTTTTTTGCTTTTTAAAATATGCATAAGGGAATTATAACATTTTTGATTATTTCACTAGGGAAATTTAGCATATTACATAAAAATTGCTTTCTCAGACTATCAAAAGTTTATGTGTAATTTAATATTTTACTACAGTACTTTCTTTTTTTTTCCTCCTGCATTTCCCAAGGCTGTGTGTCTTTGTTAACTATGGACCATGGTAATAAGTTAGTAAGCATGTTTTTAGCTATGAGTTAGGTACTGTTTCACTCTTCATTATACAGATGAGGAGACTAAAGTAGAGAGGAATTAAGTAAATTATTCTTGGTAACAGCCAAGAAGGGTATTCAACATTTATTGTTTTATATTATATAATCCGTACTTTTTGTGGGTTTCTGAAAATTTATTTTTCTTTCTTTTTAATTGTTGTTTCAGTAGTTGTTTCCATTTTCCTGCTACCACTTTCCCCCACCCCACCCATTTCCAATTTTTGTGGGTTGTTTTTTTTTTTAAATCTTCATTAAGTACTTTTTAACAATGCTTGAGCATTTACTCCACACCTAAATACTGGCTTATAGGGGTTGTGGAGATAAAGGGTAAATATGAGAGATGGATTTCTTTCTGTAATAGAGTTTATCTACATAGTGCAGGAAACAGTACATAAGCAAAACAATTACAGGCTCTGGTCAGTGCAGCTGTAGTCGAGATGACAATGGGGAGTGTTACTTAAGGCTCCCAGGGTCAGCTTCTCTGAGGAAGTAACACTAGTTTGGGGGTCTGAAAGGGAAGGCAGGTTATGGAAAGGACTTGAGGTAGACAGCTGGCTGAGAGGTCCTGATTAAAAGAAGAGCTTGATGTAATCTAGTAATTGCAGTTGTATATGACTGAGGCAGAATAAATGAAGAGTGGCAGAAAAATGAGTTTGGAGAGGTAGGCCTAATCAAAAAAAATTTTTTTGTAGTTCTTATTAGTTTTGTAGGTATGTAAGATATATTTTAAAAATAGGATTTAGGATAACTCATCATTAAATGTAATTTTTAAAAAAAGATTTTATTTATTTATTTTTAAAGAGAGGGGAAGGGAAGGAGAAAGAGGGAAATGTCAATGTGTGGTTGCCTCTCTAGTGCCCCGCCTACTGGGGACCTGGATGGAAACCCAATCATGCGCCCTGGTTGGGAATTGAACCAGCGACCCTTTGGTCACAGGCCCATGCTCAATCCACTGAGCTACACCAACCAGGGCTATTTTCTTAAATGTAATTGTTCACATCTCTGTGGAATGAATTTGATTTGGTATTTTGAAGATTTTTTTCTCCATTTGCAGATATCCATATACTTCCCTTTTAAAATACCTTAGTGTTCTTGTACATTTTAATATTCTCGCATGTCTTATCTATGGCAGAAGTTCCCTGTAGAAAAATGCAGATTCATTTTTCTGTGTACACATAAGGGACTAAGTTCATAACGAGTTTAAAGATAAGGTCACTAAAGACCAAATCATCAGCAACAGTTTTTCTTGTTCTAACTGAGGCATTCTGCTCTGACTTAAGAGGAAGGTCCTGCCTTAGCCAAGTCTTATGTCATCTCTCTTCAAGTATGAGTTAGAAGGCATCTATATCAAACTAATGCTAAAAAATGTTGACATCTCATTTGCACTTAACATACAGTGAAACTATCAGATTATATGAGTTGGTCTTTTTTCTCCCTTTTAAAAAATACTATGAGCGACTTTCTCAGGGCTTACAGAAAGAGCTTTTCCATGTTTGCCTTAATCTGTCATGATAAATTTTATCCAATTCACCCCTTTACAGGGAGCAGTCCTACATGGAAAGCGTTGTGACTTTTCTACAGGATGTTGTGCCACAGGTAGGTATCTGTGTTTTCAGAAACAGTAGGTTTTACCATTGTCCAGAGAGCCTCTGAAATGTTCTGTTTCCTAAACTTGATACTGATATCATCAACTTCAAATTGACTTGATGTTTCAGCATCCTGGACATTGGCATGGTGGAACTATACTTGTTATTTATTAGATATGCCTTAGTTTTGTGCCGACAGTGGCTCGATTATTATTCTTTAGGACTTGCTCTCCTAAGAGGAGTCAGGTGAGAGGTGGGACTTGGGACTCTCTAGCTGAGTTCTGTTTCCAAAATCTTCCTTTTGTCCTAGTTAAATGTTGCTTGTCTGACATGACACAAGCAATGTATGCTTTGCATTTCATTAACTAGATATTATGTTAACTAAATACTCTAGTGAGCACAAAGCTACGTCTCTTTCATATTGAGCAGTATTTTTATGCCTTGTTACTCTAACCTATGAGAGAGTAAACCCCTTACCCTGCCCTCTACATACGTGTGAAATGAAGAATGAGAGCTAGCCTTCTAGAATCATCTCTAGTGCACTGTTGCCATACTTAACGTATGTCTCACTTGGCACACGTGTTAAAAATAATAATTTCCAGGCTTCTCTTCCAGAGAGTTTGATTGAGTGGAATTGAGGTGGCATCTAGTAACGTGTGTCTTTAGGAAGAATCTCAGATGGTCCTTATGAAACAGTAGCTTTGGGAAGCGCTGTTTAGTGGAACTGTGGAAGTAGAAGGTTTCTGTTTTCTCTGACTGCTAATGTGTATATAATTGCACCGTTCAAAGAGAACATTCATAGACCCAGTGTCTCAGTTTTATGAGGGAGTCCTAGGAAACACTAGAATCTAGATTTCAGTTGTATTAAATAGTATTCATCAAGTACCAAGGAATGTTGGTATTTCTTTATTATGTTCAGTCAATTTTAATGAAAACAGGTCACAAGGACAAGGTCTGCAGATCTGCAGGTCATGTAAGGAGAAACACATGCTTTTCTTTCTTTAGGAGCTTGATTAGTAAGGGAAGTCAAATTTCTTGAAACAACCAGAGGCAATAGGAACAGATCAGTTAGTGTTACACATGGTAGCACGGAGTGAGTATTTAAGTGCAAAGGGAATAGATAGAAAAGAAAGAGTGAAAGAGTTAAGTCCCAAAGGTCATTGTAAGAAGCATCAATGGAAATAGATGGAAAGGTTGTGTATTTGATGTCGAGGGAAGCTAGTTAGCGGGTGTAGTAGGCAACAGGGTCGTTGTGGCTGGAGAGCATTTTCTGTTCTGCAGAGAACACTAGACGTAGGTCTCCTATGACTGCTCCTTTCTCGACCCTGAGCCCTGGCATGAGGCTAGTTCCGAGGAAGGACATTTAAAAAATTTTGTAGTTTGCCTTCCCCTAGAGTGCCTCTTCATCAAATTTTTACAAAGGTACCTTTCGTGCTAGTGGAACCCTGCATAGCAAGCAGTTCTGGTTGCTGAAGGAGAAAGGCCATGGGCAGGGGCTTTGAGGGAGTGGTTAGAGTCTTTAAGAGTTAGAATTTCATTCAAGAAATTTATGTTATGCAAGTCATTATTCTAGTTACTGTGGAAAGAAAGCAAAAATTCAGGCAGCATACATTTATTTGAGCACCTGTTACGGACCTGGCACTGTCTCAAGTTGAGGGGATACTTTGTGCCCATCCTTAAGGCTTCCTGGTCTAGTGCAGAGTTGGCAAACTGTTTCTGTAAAAAACTAGATAGGATGAGCTTTTGCAGTTCACATAATCTCTGTAGAAACTACACAGCACTGCTTACTTTGTAAAGCAAAGGGCATGGCTATATTAAAATAAAACTTTATGGGCACAGGTGGTAGGCCAGATTTTGGTAACTCATGGTCTTTTTTTTAAGTTTCAATTTTATTTTTAATTATAATTTACATTCAGTATTATTGCATGTGAGTCTTAGTGTACAGCATAGTTTTTTATATGTTTAATCCAGAATCCCCAATTGGTACTTGGTGGTCACACATTTGGAAAATATTTTTTCTGAAGATATCACATTCCACCTCCTGCTGTATTCTTGGAATCATCAAATTCATGGAGCCTGGAAATTATTTTTGGGCATCTCTAAATACTTCCCAAAGGGAGTAAAGGTTTCAGACCGGGGATCAGCTAAATAGAGTGAATTCCCGTTGTGTTTAAGAGATGTCATCAATGGCTGGTGGAAGCCCTTAGCTATGCCCTTTGGTCTAATAATTGTACTTGTGAAAAGTCATTAAAATAATTTAACAAAGAAAAAGTTAAAGCTCAGATTTTTTCATTTTTGAAAATTTAACATTTTTAGTGTAAAAAATTGTATTCAGCCCAAATGTCAAAAGCAGCCAAGAAAATTATGATATATTGTGCCTATAGAGCAATTTGCTGTTATTATACTTTTGACAGCAGTACACGATGGAAGTTTTTCATTGCATTGAAAAAATAAAACAACACATCTACAGTGATCCTAGCTGTGTCTTTTTTAATTTGATTTATTTTTTTGAGAAAGGTAAAGGGAGAGAGAAAGAGAGGGAGAGAAACATCAATATGTGGTTGCCTCTCACGTGTCCCCCACTGGGGACCTGACCTGGAACCCAGGCATGTGCCCTGACTGGGAATCGAACCAGCGACCCTTTGATTCTCAGGCCTGCACTCAATCCATTGAACCACACCAGCCAGGCCCCTAGTTGCGTCTTTTAAAATTCAACAATAACTTATGAATGTGTAAAGGTGTTAGAAACCAAATAAAGAATAAAAGGAGAAATAAGCAAACCCTGTCAGTAATGGAGTAAAAGTTTTGACTGAAGAGCCTGAGGTAGGAAAAAAGAAGTTGTCCTAAATGTAATGTGGTGTCTTAGCTTGGATCCTGGACCAGAGAAAGAATATTAGTGGAAGAACTGGTGAAATCCAATAAAGTCTCAGGCTAAATGAATAATAATGCATCAATTAGTTTCATAGTTTCAGCAAATGTGCCATGGTAAGGTGAGATTTGGTTAGATTACATAGTTCACATTAGAGGAATTAGGGGGATCTGGTTGAGGTGTAAATGAGAACTTTCTGTACTGTGTTTAGTAATCTAAAATTATTCCAGAGTAAAAAGTTTTATTTTCAAAAAAGAGAGTTTTTAAGGATGAGAAGAGTGAGACCAAAGGAGAAGGATGGGGAGATAAAGTTGATGGCGATGATGATAATGATGAGGTGGCTGAAGATAAAGTTGGTGGTAGTGTGGATTTTTCTCTTTAAAGGATTGACTGCCATATACATGTCTCACTTCTTTTTTTATTTTAAAGACAATTGAAATCACAAGATTTTTTTTGTGTGTGCGTATGGTAAATCTGCTATTGAAGTAACTATCTTTTAATAGTATTTTCTATGGCCATTAACTTTGTTTGATAAGTACAGGGGTTATAATTGGCATGGAAACTTAAATCAGGTCATGTATAACACAAATTATATATGGGATGGTAGTCTTTTTATGCTTTTGACATAACTTATATTAACTAATAGTTCTCTGAACTGAGAACCCCCTTTTTTGACATTCTAAATGCTTGTAAGTACATATAATCTTTAAAAATTTTTAAATAAAAACACGTGCTTTGAGTCCTGATGGGTACTCTTGACACTTTTCCTATGACTTCAGTGCAATTTTATGTTTATGTCTGTTACCCTTGCAGGCTTGTAGGAACTAGCTAATAGGTTGAATCTAGAAGCCGGGTCAGAGACTGAAAAAGTAACGCCTTATTTCCCACCCCCAACACTGACGCATGCCCTTCAGCTGGAGAACTGGAGGCAAGCAGAAAGTAGTACTCCCCCGTGTTTTGTGACTACAAACAAGTGAATTTATTTTTGTATTTTTGTGCTATATTTCTGAGCCTAGAAGAGAAAAACAAATAAAGCTTTTAATTGTTTTATGATTTAGGAAAATGAGGTATTATGCATATGTTACCTCTTTTATTATAATGTCAGTAAGTACATTAAAACTATTTTTTAGTTACAGTTGACATTCAGTATTTATTAGTTTCAGCTTGGTGGTTAGACAATTATATAATGTATGAAGTGATCGCTGTGCCTCCCCACCCCCCGATAATTCTAGTGCCCAGCTGGTGCCATACATGATTATTACAGTATTATTGACTATATTCCTTATGCTGTAAGAAATACTTTTGACCATTCTGGGTAGAGTGTAATTGCCTGATCGTAAATACATGGATACTAAATAGATACCTGTGGTGGTTTTGTTTCTTTCTTAAGCTTTCCTATTTGTTGACCAGTATAGAGGATGATTTAATTTTTTGAGCACCTTCGAATTATAGTGATGCTTCTGAGTAGACTAGGATCATTCTATTTTAGGTTTCTGCAGTTCCTTAGTAGGCTAAACCCCCCCTTTGTTTGACCAAGGTAAGTTATCAAACCCCTGGATAACTTTCTTTGGCAATAAAAGTATTACAAAATGTACTAGTTTCCAAGATGTAGGATTGGTGAAATTTTATGGAGGGATAAATTTAGCTTTATATAAGTTACTCTTTGTTGTGAACATCTGTAATATCAGAGCTGTGAAATATTTTTATTCAAACATTTCTGTTTACTATACAGGCTTACAGTGGAACACCTCTAACAGAAGAAAAGGAGAAAATAGTCTGGGTCAGATTTGAAAATGCAGATTTAAATGGTATGGTTTTAACTTTTTGGGACATACGAATTGAATGTTTGCTTGAGGTTGACCTGATTCCAACAAAGAAACCTTTCTTGAGTCAGATTCATTTCTCTTTCACTAACATTTTAGTTTTCAAAGTAAATTTATATTTAATTTAAAAAGTAGCATAATCACACTATAGAAGCTTCATTAGAACTAATAGCGTACTATACAAGTAATTGTAACATATATACCTAACCTTAAACTTTAAGTCCAACTGAGAAGGGGTTGCCTTTCGTCTGTTTCCTGGGCTACCATATCTGCCTTCTTCTGGCCGAGTTTGGGAGGCACTGGTGAGAAACTGAATGGGAGGATGGGACAGAGGGAATAGAATTATTCCCTCATTTCCTCTGTGGTTCTAGGTTCCCCTGGGCAACTCTACCACCAGTGCAGTTCCTACTGTGTCTTCCTAGCCTAGGGGTGGTAATGACTTCCTACTGTTGCTAATCCAGTAGGTTGCCTTATAGTTCCCTTTTTTGGCTTCTCAGCTAACCAGTGGTCTGTATTGAATTCCCAATATAAATACACTGAATTGTTTTAATTTTCTGGTTGGACCTTGATTTGTCTCCTCTAGACTTTTCAGATGTAATGCCATATTTTCCTTTATTTTTTTAACATTTTTTTTATTATGCCATTACATTTGTTCTATTCCCCCCCTCCATTCCCCTCCATCCTGCACACCCCTCTCCCACCATTCCCCCCCTTTAGTTCATGAACACGTGTCTCAAGTTCTTTAGATTCTGTATTTTCCCTACTATTCTTACCCTCCCCCCTATCTATTTTCTATCTACTGTCTGTGCTACTTATTTTCTGTACCTTCTCCCCCCTTCTCCTTCTCCCACTCCCCTGTTGCATATTTTCCTTTAAAAGCTACTCTCTAGGATAAGAGAGGTTAAGTATTGTTTTTGCAAATTGGTTTCTTTTAAATTTTGGATTCTCTGTCAGTTGGTTCATTCAAATAATGACAACTTGTTGGGCCTTCTTTACAGGGAAGAAAACATTCATTTGTAGGGGTGATTGTGATATATAAACTTTTCCTACTGTATTTCTTTTAGAAGTCTTACCATATTTTTAATTTTTATTTTGTGACTCAGATTTCATTGTTTACTAGCATATTCTTCCTTTTCCTTCTAATAACTATCATACAGTGTTTGAATTGAAGTCTGCTACGGTGATTGCTCTCTGTTTCTTCAACAGTCCTGGGGGCTTCTCCTTTTCTGTCTGAAAATATAAAGTGCCTCCAGGTTGCATCCTGTTTGATGTGTCACGGTTAGGGCGGGGCTTGGGTCCTCCTCGGGATCTCCATTTCTAATCAGTGTGTTAAGTTTGGCGGTTGTTAAGTAGGCATCACTATTTTTGGAGTTCATCAGAGAGTGGGGCAAAGGCCCTTTGTATCATGATCACTGTTCTGTTCCTCTTTTCCAGCTGTCTGATTTATTCCTAAGCTTGTTATTCTAAAGGTGCCATATAGAAAGAGACACAGCCAAAGCAGTTTAATATCCTGACATTTTTCTATCACATTCCCTAAAAGTGTGCATATAGTTTGAGTCTCAAAACACATCAGGTTATCCACTTGGTTTGCTATACTAAAACAAGAAGTGCCAAGTCTCTGATTTATGAGGGGAAATTTTTAGGACCCCCTAGTCTTACAGACTTGGCCGGTTTTAATATCAAGTTCTAGTACTAAACTTAGGTATTGATTTTTATATTCAACATTTCTTACTTCAGTTGCAAGTGATTGGTTTAAAGTAATCTAAAAATTTTTTTAAATTGTGGTAAAATGCACATAAAGTTTATCAACCTAACCATTTTTAAACGTACAATTTAGTATTCTTTAGTAAGTCCTCACTTAGCATTGTTGATAGGTTCTTTGAAATAAGGTGGGACAAAGTATAACAAAACCAATTTTACCCTAGGCTTGATTGATATGAATGAGTTAATTTCCTACAGTATCTCATCAACACTATAATGAAATGACATTGAATGAAACTTATTATTCGAGGACCTACTGTACATTGACATTATTATGCCACCAACCTCTAGGACTCTTCATCTTGTAAAACTGAAATTCTATACCCGTTAACAACTCCACATTTGATTCCCACTAGCCCCTGACAACCACAGTTCTACTTTATGTCTGTGAATTTGATTACCCAAGGTGCCTCGTGAGTGGTACCATACAGTCTTTGTCTCTACATGACTGGCTCATTTCACTTCGAATAATGTCCTCAGGGTCATTCATGTTGTAGCATGTGTGGAAATTTTCTTTTTAAGGCTGTATAGCACAGTTTGTTTATCCATTCATCTCTCAGTGGTCATTTGGGTTGCATCCCCCTTTTGGCTTAGTGAAGGATGCTGCTGTTAACACGGGTGTACAGCTATCTCTTCGAGTGCCTGCTTTCAATTCTTTTTGAGTATATACCCATAAATGCAATTGTTGGCTCATAAGATAATTGTTTTTAGTTTTTTTTGAGGAACTGCCATATTGTTTTCATGGGGAAATTTTTTTTTTAACCTCCTCATATCGCTTGTGTGGACATAGGAAGCATCCAAAGCTATAGAGAACTTTTAAAAAAGATTTTATTTATTTATTTTTAGTGAGAGTGGAAAGAGGGAGAAAGAGAGGGAGAGAAACATCAATGTGTAAGAGATACATCAATTGGTTGTCCCTCCAACGCCCCTGGCTGGGGACCTGGCCCGAAACCCAGGCATGTGCCCCGACTGGGAATCACACCAAAGACCTTTAGGTTTGCAGGCTGGCACTCAGTCCATTGAGCCATACCAGCCAGGGCAAAGCTGTAGAGAATTATTATAACAGTTTATTTGAGTTGGGGAGTAAGATCTCAGATTCTTTAGAGAATAAGTTCTACAGCTTCTTTAATGCATTTGAAATTAAGGAGGATTACATGAATGCAGGAACAAGGCAGGGATTGTATTGTAGGATATTTAATGAGGTTTTGTGTTCTCTTGAGGGTGGTCACCCTTTAGAAGGAGGATTCTGAAAGGAGGCATTTCAAGCCTAGATGTGTAGGAACAATGGACAAGGCTTGCTTAAGGCAAAGGCACGCCTTTTACTAAAGAAGTTTTAAGCCTGGGGTGTGACTGTGACCTGCCCATATAGGGATTTATGACCAGATCGCCCTGTGAGGTTACTTTTCATGGAACTCCCTTTTTCATTCACATTGGGAAAGGATAGTGGCTTGATACTTCTTCCACTGCTTGTCACTTCTTCCTGAATTCTTGCTAGTTTTGTGTGTGTGATCAGGGAAGAAATAGTGTTCTTTGTAGAATCAAGAATGCTCAGTCTGGGTCACCTTCTGGTTGTTGAAATAGTTGGAGTAGCCAAGAATGTAGTACTAGAATTGGCTCATTCTAGAATTGGTAATGTGCTTATCTTTCTGCTTGATGTGTGTGTGTGTAGGGGGGTGGGCAGGGTTAAGGTCAGTTACCAGAAAAGGGGGAGGTATAGAGTTGGAAAATGTATGAAGTATATAGAGATGATACTTCAAGGTACTGCTGCTCTGGTGTGCTTTTTCCACCATTACAACTAATTACTAGACATTTTCACTTAAATGTCCCCAAAGTGCCTCATAGTCTTAGTCCTTTTCCTATCTATGTCCCCTTATAAGCTGTGCTTCAACTCCACTTGCCTTTCAGATCATTGGAGGCACAGAACTTTTCATGCCTTGGGATCTTTGTACAGAGAGCCTTTTGGCTGAAACATTCTTTTTTGCCTTAATCTTTTTTTCACCTATTAACATCTACTAGAAATGATTGCTCAGGTATTAGACTGGGTATTGGCAGTATGCTGCTGCCATTAGTACATGTCTAGAATACAGAAGAAGCTGGTTTGGAAGGAAAGATTTAATTTTACTTTACACCTAGATTTTTAAGGTAAGCAGAAGACCTAGTATTCCTTCCTCCTCTTCCCAATTTGTAAACATTTTTCCAAGGAGGGAGAGTGGAGTAAGTGAAGTGTCAGGGAAGGTTCACAGATAACTTATGACCAGACAAGGTTTTGAAGGGTGGGTGAATTGAAGGAGAACATCGTAGTTGGCCCAAAACACAAAGGAGTGTAACCTGTCTCCATAGGAAAGACTGTAAAGGCCACATTGATGGATGAAATAAGAAAAAGAAACCAGTAAAGGAGACAAGGATCAGTTATAGATAGAGTAGCCAGTGATGATGGTATGATCAAGGATATATAAATTTTAAGAAAAGTCAACAAATAAGGGTTACTTAAAACCATAACAATTCTGAAGGGTAATACAAAGTTTTCACGAAGAATTTTGAAGAAGAATAATGGAAATCTACTGTATACTACCATCCAGAGGAAGAAAAACAGCCCAAGTGACTGAGCATAATCTAAATGAACAGAAATGACGCCCTGGCTGGTGTGGCTCGGTGGACTGAGCGCCAGCCTGCAAACCTAATGGTGGCAGGTTCTGTTCCCAGCCAGGGCACATGCCTGGGTTGCAGGTGGGTCCCTAGCAGCAGGTATGCGAGAGGCAACCACACTCCCTCTCTTTCTCCTTCCCTTCTCCTCTGTCTAGAAATAAATACATACAATCTTTAAAAAAGAAAAAGAAGTGAGATTTTGTTCATACAGTGACCCTAGGGGTTTTATATGTGGCCTTTAAGCCCTTCTAGAAGTAACAGCCTGTGATCAAAGTGGTAGTTGCAGTAGAAAGAGTCGGATCATGCATGTATCAGGAGTTCTTCAGTTTCCCTTCAGCTCTGAGTGTGTTATACCTAGTTTGTACTTGTCAGTGATAAAGTGGAATCGGTTCCAGCTCTGAATAGAGAAAACAGTGTTGTTGTGTGTCAGGTCAGATGATGTATACACCGAAGGACTCTGAAAATTATAAAAAAACATTAAATGTTAGATACAAAGAGGATTAATGTTGCTCTAGGAAAATAAGTTTATAATGAATTTTGCTGGAAATACTGTAGAATCATGTGTTATTAACTTTATG